GGCCGCGCTCCCGAGGCCGCCCCGGCGCGGGGCTGATCCGCTGCCGCGGGCGCCGGGGCCGGGTGGGCGAACGTGCCAGGCAGGGGGCGTGTGCAGCTGTTTCTGTAATTTTAGTGATCTTTCTGGTTTTTGGTGATCATTCTTTTTTAAAAAGCCTTATTTTTGAAAACTTTGATGTCCCCTGAAGATTTTTTAGTTTGCGCTGATAGATTTTTGAATTGAGAGATTTGGGAATTTTACATGTCTTAATTTTCTACTTGCTAAACTCAGACTATGATATCGCTTAATAGTTTTAAATAGTTTTATCTTTGAATTGAGATTTTTCATTGTAGGAATTAGCTTTACCACTGGTGTGCACTTTAATTTTACATTGTCTCTATTGTATGTAGGTCTCGATTTATTGAGTTTGACTTGAACTCTCTAAATAAAATTAGAAAATCATTAGTGTTTCTGTTTATTCATTTTAAAAAAATTGTTTATTCATTTGTATACAGTATTGGGATTGAACCCAGGGGATTCCTGCCACTGACCGATCTTCTCAGCACTTTTATTTTTTTTTATTTTGACACAGTCTCACTAAATTGCCCAGGCTGAATTTAAACTTTCAACCCTTCTGCCTCAGCCACCTGAATACCTGAGATTACAAACATGCGTCATGGAGCCAGGCTTACACTAATATTTATGTGTATAATGTACTGTAATTACATTAGCAAACACATGAAGAAATTAAGCTTTGGTAATATTGTTGAAGGAATAAAACATCTGTGGAGAATACTGTGTATAACGATCTCTATATCCCCTCCCCATTTGTATTCCCTCAAGGGCTGCATAGATATTTTCTGGTTCAGTTTTTTTTTTTGTCATTTTTTGAGACTCGATTTCACTATGTAGCCCAGGCTGGCCTCGAACTCGCTGCAGTCCCCCCCGCCTCAGCCTCCTGAGTGCTGGGTCCATAGGTGTGCACAACCATTATCAAGGATTTTATACCTTGATGCGTGAATCCCACAAATATCACTCGGGTACCTGCAGCACTGTTTGAGGTATGCACAGTTTCTAAAGTAGCATTAGACAATAAGGAAGATAAATTTTAAAAAGCCGTATCAAATGTTAAGGATGAGGGGCCGGGACATAGCTCAGCAGCACAAGCGCCTGCCTGGCAAGACCAAAGTCCTGAGTTCGACTCCCGAAACAAAAAAAAAAAAAAAAAAAAAAGTTAGGGATGAATAATTGCTAAGGAAAAAGAGATGAAAGTAAAGGGGTTTTAGTGCCTGGGGGAGGCGGACGCGCGGGGTGTTAATGGGCGTCCGGAACAAGCTTTCCCAGAGGAGCCCTGGGGGCCTGCTCAGGGGGCACTGGCGGGAGACGGCTCCGGGTGCGGGCAAGGGTGCGGGCGGAGGCGCTGGGAGGCAGCCGCGTGGGCGTCCCCTCTGGCACAGGCGGGGTGCGGGCTGTCGCGGGGCTGAGCCTGGGGCCCCGGGGGCTCTGTCGGGACCCCGTCGGGCGATCGCCCAGCACCAGAGCGTCGCTCCCCGCCCTGGAGGCCGCCCAGCCCGGGGTGCCCAGGCCCGCTCCCCGAGGCCGCGTGTGCGGGACCGCCCTGGCTCCGCGCAGCAGGTCGGACCGGCCCCAGCGCGCTCCTCGTCGGCCAGCGTCTCCCCTCGTCCCATGCCCCTGCAGCCCCGAGCACCCCGGTCGCTCACTCGGCCCCCAGACCTCCGCTTCGGGGCAATTTCCCCTGAAGAGTGGGCGCTGGATGCGGCCCTGGCAAGGAGGCTCTGGAACAGGGTTCCGGAGCGGGGTGGCTTTGAGGATTTGTTTCACCTCGGGTAAACTGAGGCAGACACAGGCGAGGGGACTTGTGACGGGCTTGGCGCCCGGGCTGGAGAGGCGGGGACGGCAGCTGCGCGCTGAGCCGACTCCAGGGGCGCGCGGGCCGGGCTGCGTTTGGGGACCCCGCGCCCCACCCGGGCGAGCTGCACGGCTGCGCAGCTCCTCTTCCCCTTCCCCGCGGAGGCCGAGGCT